AATTAAAATAATGAATAAGAAAAGGTCTTCAAAAGTGAAGTTTTATTATACTCTCAAGTGTTCCCAAAACATCCTTCTGACCTTTGAACTCTTTCCTGATGGATCTCATACATTCTAGGAATAGGAATTAATAAATGGGATCTTAGAAGAATTTTATCTCGTCTGAGAATTTGTATCTATAGCAGAGTCTACCTAAAATACTGATGTTGTCATTTGTTACGATAACTCGGTCTCTTTTGAAATCTCGTTTAAATTTCTTATCCTCTTTAACAGGACTCTAACAATATCTCAGATCATTTTCTATTTTTTTGATAATCTGAGCTGGAGAATCATTCTTAAAATGGTTTCTGATTTTGAAAGCAAGTTTATCTATCAACTAGTATTTATTAATACTTATAAGTTGCCTAAAACATCTAGCAATGCATCTGACATTTTTAATACTGTGTGTATTTATATTAGGTAGTTGATCAATATTTTCATTTTAAATATCCTTGAAAGGACGCCCTCTCTTTTTTCCCTTTCTTTAAGTTATGGATTAATCATAAGCTGCATCAATCTCATCAATCACAACATCAACTTGATCCTAAGTTAGACTTTAAAAGTCTTTATTCCAAGAATCAATTGAAGTTTGATTTTAGTCTGATTGAATGAGCTCATTTGAATTATTGTTGCTTTTATCTTGAGGTTATTCCTTATATTACTAATACGTCTCATTTTGTTAAAAATATTAATATTGCTTTCCAAAGAGTGGATCCTCTAAGTTAAACTACTTCATTTCATTTGAATAAAATTGGTATTTGTTAGGAAGATTTTAAAATGGATCTTAACTATCGAAGTCAATTGTTAAATTCAATCTATAAAAATCATCAAAAAAGGTGTCTAAATTTTCATTTAGACTATTAGATTAACTGTTTGTTGATGCTATTTCATGATTGAAGTATTTAATGTTTTGTTACTTATTGTCTAAATCCATTTCACTATTATCAAAAGGATTTTCCATTTTAAAGTAGTTATACTCATCGAGAGTGTAGTCTAAATTGCTTTGCATTTTATGAATATGGTAGAGGCTTTGATTGTTAACTTTAATTATATTAATTTAATATTCATACTTTATATAATTCTAAATATCCAATAGGAAATCTCACTGCGATTCAACCAAAAAAGTAATGTATCTCTCGAATGCAGTTAAATTTAAGAATATAGACAAAACAAATTTATTTCACTTATTGCTATGATTGAAACTATGAAAAAATCAGGTACCCTTGCTATAATATAAACCTTAATTCTTAATTCTACTAATTTGTCAAATTTATACTTCATTTTTCAAAATTCTTCTTCTCGGGGTTTTGGGGTTTTGGGGTTTTGGGG